TCTTTGAATGAGAAATGATGCCTAAAAGTTATTTGAGCCAACCTGTCACCCATGAGGTGACAGTCAACACATGGTTGATGGCAATGAGATACATAGATAGAAAGACCCACTTACCAGCCCAAGGACTAGGGAGCCTATAGGCAAGGTCCAAAGAATAGCAGTGACATTGCAGGAAAAGTGGGCTCCCAATAAATCCAGACAAAGGTGTTTATTCTAAAAAAGGTTGGGACACTGCCCTGCTGCTTCCCCAGCATCAGCACAGTGCCTGGCGTGTCACAGACATGCAGCTTGCACCTGGATGGCACAGTGGAGGGTTTGATGGAAGACCCACTATGCTGAACTGGGTGAGGACAATTCGGTTGTCCAGTTAGACCAGGTTGGCTTGTGACAGCAGTCTTTGGTCACAGTGAGGTGGGAAGCAATGCTGGGTGACTGGGCAGAGGGAAGACAGGCTGACTGTGCTCTCTGCCATTATGGCCTCAAGTGCCAGAGATCAAAAGGCAGAAATGCTGCTTACAGAGAAAATAAAGTAAAGCCAATGTATCAGCCATGTGTCTTCATAAATTGAATGGCAGAGGTAGTTATGGAGGCCTTGTATTTCAGGAGATGTATACTATTAGTACTGTGAAAGAAAGTGTCACTCTCAAAAGCCCATAGCTTCCAGTCCCACCCAGGAGACCTGGGTGACACAAGGCATCTTGTGAGGAGTCTCCTTGGTCTTACTCTAGGAAATCCATGGTTCCACCACCCAGTCTTGGATCTTCTGCTTCATCCATCTTAACTGTGTCTGAATTCAATCTGTAAGAACTAATCACAAAGGCAGAAGTTGGACATTGGGCAAGAAAGAACCAGCCACTGCAGGATTCCAGGAGGCGCACCCTTGTACAAGATGGTGCAATATTGTCAGGAAGCATTCTAGAAAAAGATGGCCTTTCAGCCACAAAAGGGAAGAAATTTCCCACTTAACAAATGTTCATAGAATTCCCCACAAAACCTCTCAGCCTCCCGAATTCCCCTGCCTCTTATTTCCTCCTCACATACCTCTCTCTCTAAGTGGCTCCTGCCTGTACTTCTGCTTCCCTACGTGAATTCAATAAAGAAAATAAACCCAGTAATACCTTATGTGACCTTGTTTGCAAATATGTACATTGAAAATACATGCATATACCAGAATTGCATGGAAAAAGAAATAAAATTGTTGGCCTCTGCAGCATGTGAGCCCTGCTCTGTTTCCAGAGACATACTTTCTATCACTTAAATAATATCTAAATTTTCCACTTAAGAATGACATTTTCATGTGTTAGTTTCACATATATACTGTAATTCTAAGGGAGTTCTACCAAATCATTGGAGAAACTAATCTAATTTTCAACAGACCAATCACGTACTCCAGTTAAAACTGCACTGAACACTTGCTCTGTACTAGCTTGCTCACGCACCCAGGAAGGCGAGTCCTGACAAGATGCAGCGCCATCTGTTGACCACACTCTAAAATACAGCCTGATGGTCCTTTTTTTAATCCTATTCAGGCTCAGGGGTCATTCCCATACATAAACTTACTTCCTGTGAACTGATCTTTAACATCGTAACAGGTTTAATAGAACCAAAGTGATAATGAGTACAATAAAATACTGACAATATATTCTGCCTCCATTCTTCTAATCCTACAGGTTATATCCTACAGGTCAATTTCAGGAAAGCATATTGTTATGTCTTTGTATTGACTCACTGATCCATCAAATGCATATTGCTGAGCACCTGTATATCCCCACAACACGTATCTGGTAGAAGACTGGCCTAGCCCCTGGCCCTCTTGAAGCATATTTCTCTAGAATCTGACCACTTCTGTCTCCCACATGTGTGTATTATTGATGCCAGAGCCTCTTCGCTGGTCACCTGCTTCCATTCATGAACCTCCACAAATTCTCCTCACCATGGCGTAGGAGGAACACTTTAAAGCTTAAGTCAAGTCATGAGCCTTCCTTGCTCTAAACCCTCATCCGGAGTAAAGTCCAACCTTCCTTGATAAGACCTGGCCTTTCCTCTCCACCCCGATCACCACACCAACCGTACCGGCCTCTCTGCGCTTGCTCAACTTGAGAAGCTTCAGGGCCTTTGTGTTTTCTGTGTCCTCCCTGGACATGCTTTCCTCGTATATCAGCAGGACTGACTCTGGGCCTTTGCTCAAGTAACACTTTATCAGTGAGCCCTTTTCTAATCACTTCTCATGAAATCCCAAGGCTCCAGCGCCCCATGTGGGGACCCTCGCCTGCCTACCCTTTTTTCTCTCTTCCCAAATACCCACTGCTGTCATACTGTATGCAGATAATTGGCTATTTGTTGGTTTATTGTCTGATTCAACTAAAACACAAGCTCCATGTTTTGTTGACTTTGGAATCTCCAGCACCTAGACCTACATGTCACCCATCGGCTGAACAAAATCTTGCTTGTCTCCTATGTATCTCTCTCATCCTCCAGACCCTGCTTTCTGAGGACAGGGAAGAAAACAGATCATGAGAAGCCCTCACAGGAACTCTTTGGTCTAGAACAAAGAAGTGCTGTCCTTTGTATGTTTTGAAACAAGGCCAGTTCACGAGTGTTCTCTGTGTTCACAGAAGGGATAGACTTGGTTTAATGGTCTCAGTCACCGATTTTAAATTCTTAATAATTTTTATATAAAGGAAGCTGCATTTTCACCTTGCTGTGAGCCCCACAAATTTTGTAGCCTCTCCTGTTTTGAGGATTTGAGGTAGGAGATGTATGAATAAAGAGCCCACTGAAAATAGCACAGAAAGATAAACAGTTCACTTAGTGCATGAGCAGTTTACAATCCGCAGTTACCAGCTATTGCATCACTACTAATTCAAAGAAGTCAGCCTGTGGGATACTTGCTTTTGTAAGTCTTCAGGCTCACTACCCCCTCAGTGAGTCATGGCATCCTTACGAGTAGTTCTCCCTTCTCACGAGGCCACAGGCTGGAATTCCCCACCACCAATGTCAATGTCCACGCATGCCAAGAGAGAAGCAGTAGCACTCATGGATAAAATTGCAAAACTGACAACTCTGAGCCAGCTTAAATTTAAAATAGACAGGAGAGTTTCATTGCAGCGGGCAAGGGAAGTGATCTGTGGTTTTGCATTAGATGTTCCTGGAAGGAAAAGAGGGGACTGGGTCCAGGAAAGGGAGGATGCTCAAAGGTAGTGTGCAAAGCAGGAAGCAGAACAGAAAGGTGAGGAAGGGTTCTAACACATCTCCAAAGCTCAAGACCCAATAAATACGGACTTGTGCTTCCCTGGTCCTGTAGGGAAGAGTGACCGCAGTGAAGAAGAGCGCACAGGCACTCCAGCGCCCTCCGCTGGATCCCGGAGGGACTGCTCTGTGTCCACGGGTCTTTCCAGGCTGAGAGATACACACAGAAAGGGGATGCAAGTACAGGGAGTTAAAATGTGGACAAGCAACACTTTACCCTGCTTCTTTTAACACAGTGAATTACTAAGCAGTGTGGAACAGCTGCTTTGAGAAATCAGAGGAGGGGGGAAAGCCTGAGGTAGGTGAGACCTTTGGGGATGAAGACAGACTTGAATTTGTTCTTGAAGGAGAGCAAGGATTCAGATGGGGATAGGAGGAGTTAAGAAGTGGAAGAAAAAGCTTCCAGACAAAACACAGAAAGAAAAGAACAGAAAGAGCATCCTGAGTTGAGCTAATACCTTGAGTGTTAAGGTCTGTATCCAGATGAAGACAAATGATGCTTTTCCTCAAGCAACAAAGACAACGTCTACTAAAGATAAAGGAGAGAGAAGGCACATAAGGAGCTTGGAGTTAGACATTTAAGTTGGGAAGTCTCACTTTGCACACCCCTGTGAAACAGAAAGTAGGTAGTCAGATGCAAACATTGTCCCAAGGGAAGTGCTGATGTAATTGAGTGCCTGTGAGGCAATAGTTAACCTTTACCACGCCTGAGTTTATTAAGCTCCCTGCATTTCGACCACACCAAGCTCTGTGACACCTATGCTGAGGATGTAGCTCAGTGGTAAAAAGCCCACCTAGCATGATGCCTATGCTGTAGGTCTGTGGGTTTTGCCTGTTTTATGGTACTGAGGATGGAATTCAGGGCCTTTGCATGGTCTTTACATCTCCAACCCTTTTTTAAAAAATATTTTGAGACAGGGTCTCCTTAAGTCACTAAGGTGTTCAGGCTGAGCTTGAACTCAGGCTCCCAAGTGCTGCAGTTGCAGGCATGGGCCAGTACACACAGCATTTCTAAGAACTCCCAATCCTATCCCAAGAGATTCTGGTGTAGGTGGTGGTAATGATGTAGGGGAATGAAACTGCCCACCTACTAAATGTCCAGTATGACTTCGTGTTCTCTAACACTGAAGAATGAATTTTAGCAACAACAGAGGTTAAGAGTAGAATCTATTTATTGACAGAAAGCTTCTGTCCAACAGAGAGACAGAACGGGTCCCAAGTGGGGTTGTCAAGGACTCTGTCTTTTACAGGGACTTTTATAGAGTAAAATCATGGGTTTAAGGTGGGGAAAACTGGGAACTCAAAAGGCAGATGGGCATAAGGTGGGACTGAACTATGGTTAGCCAATAAGATTAATAGCTCAGGTAAAATTGATTACATTAGGGACAAATGGGAAAAGAAGCCCGTAGAAAGTGTCATTCTTAGAAAGCAGTGAATCTTCCCTAGGAGACTGTGATGGTGACTCCTGACTTCCTCAAAGTGATAGGGAACTAATTAGAATATCAGTCCTTAGGATGTGGATGCTTTTGTTTGATCTTTTGTCTTGAGGCCTGGCCCATAGCAGGAGGTATCTGTCTCCCTGACAGTTGCAAGGTATCTGGGCTTTGGAACTGGCTTCTTTGAGGACCTAGCCATGTCTCACTGCCTATAATATTTCTAACTAACTCAGCTGCCTGCAGCAGTGGGACCACATGCTACACTGTTCTTTAAACTGTCTCCCAAGCCACTGGCTGATCAACGCCAACACTTACATGACAGGGTTGGCCATGACAGAAGGCCAGTTTTCTAGGCCTTCAGGCACATTTGCTGTCCAACTTTGGAAGAATGTCCATGAGACTTTTGGTTCTTCTTTCTTATCCAGAGGCATACCATATTCACACCAAGGAAGATTTGAAGGATGCCCTTTCTCCATCCTCTTGGGCTGTTATAACAAAATAGCACAAACTGAGAGGTTTGTAAACCACAGAAATCTACTGCTCACAGTGCTGGAGGCTGGGCACTGCAAGATGAAGGTGCCAGTGGATTAGGTGATGGCCCTTATTGACATGTCCTAACTCAGGAGAAGGAAGAGGCAACTCTTGGGGGTGTTTTTTATAAGAACACTAGTATCACTGTACCCTGGATTGAATCGTGCTTTCTAAGCCCTCACTCTATCACCGAGCTACATCCCCAGGCAATGATACCCCTTTTACGATACCATTCAGAGAAGCTCTGCCTTTACAACCTAACCATCTCCCAGGGGCCGCACTGGGAGCTGAGATTGTAACAGGAATTTTGAGGTGCACAGGGAACGAAAGTTAAGGCCAAGCTCAAGCAAATGGGTTTCTTTTCGAAAATAAATCATCTAGGCTCTGGCCATTTCTGTCAAGCTATGCTTTATAAATGAAAAAAATAAAACCCCAACTTTCATAGATAGAAGCTCAGGTTGTCATGGCCATGGAAGCTCCTGTACCTACCTGGAGTCAGTAGGGAGGAAGTCAGGTAGTGAGGATGGCCTCCCTCTGAAAGGATTTTGCCCTGGATGGGAAGCTGCGATGGTGGGAGGCTGGGAGGCAGAATCAAGGGGCTCTATCTTGAGGTCACCTTTCCCGCCCTTAGTCAATTTACCTATGGCCCAAAATAAATTCCAATGGGCTACCTGTGCATCAGTAATGCCCCTTAGGCACCACCCCAAACCTAAGCTATATATACGCCCCCACACTACGTGTCCAGCAGAGAGAATGCCAGACCCCAGAGGTCGTGGAGTCTCTCTCCAAATTCTTAAAATAAAGGCCACTTTTATTTCATATTTCTTATCTTTTTAGCCGAGCCAAAAACTCTATCACCCTACCAACTGAAATGAGCCAAGTCTTCCTCAACTGATTCATGCACTGTACAGAGTTCTACCCGAGTCCCAGACATCAGAATCCCAATGGTGCCAGACATCAGAATCTCAACAGTAAGCAAAACTGATCTATGTGTCCTTTCTCCCTACATTCTAGTAGTAAACAACAGAAGGTATTTTCAAACAGTAATTAAAAGCTTAAAAAAAAAAAGATTTGGCCAAGCATGCTGGTGCATGCCTGTAATCCTAGCACTCAGGAGGCTGAGGCAGGAGGATCGCCATGAATGTGAGGCCAGCTAGGGATATGTAGTGAATTCAAGACCAGCCTGAACTGCATGAGAGACCTTGTCTCACAAAAACAAAGCAAAAACAGAACTGGAGAAGAGTGATTAGGAAGTAGGATGTGGGTACTTTAAACAGAATGGTCAGAGAGTCTCTGAGAGGTGACATTCAAGCTAAGAACTGAATATCAAGAAGCAGTCAGGCAGGTCCTCTGAGGGAAATCTCACTTGCATGTGGAATCTAAAAAAAGTCAAATTTACTGGGCATGTTGGTGCTGTACTCTAGCAAAAAGAGCTTCGTTATGTTTGTGTTATGCCTAAGTTATAAGACCAAAGTACCTGTAACTCATCATACTGTTCTGTATGTGTCATTTTTCTGGTTGACCTGATTGATATGTTAATCAATGCTCCCCTATGATATGTTAACCATTGCTGCCCTCTGCAAATGACAGATGTTATCTAAAATTGAGTGCTAAAATAAGCTGACAAAGGATTGTTAATTCCTGTGAGACTTCTCTGTCCTCTGCAAAGGGAAACAAAGGTCTTCCTCATTCCTTGGCAGATCCTGATCCACGCCCATAACCCCTTACTTCATAAACCATGCTTTCTACAAAAAGTCTAGAAAGTTTTGAGGAGACACACAGCTTTCGCAAACTCCAACTGCACTGTGTCACTGGGCCCAGGATAAAATAAATCAGCGCTGCTTTTAAAAACATGTCTTGCCCCATTTTTGGACTCGAGGTTGGGGGGATAGGGGCTCATTTTTTAAACTACAAGAGTTGGCAGATGCCTGCAATTCCAATACCCAGGAGACTGAGGTAGAAAAGTGTTGCCAGGTGAGAGGAGTCAGAAACGACAGCCATGTGAGTAAAGGCAGACAAACTTTCACTGCTAAGATGGGGACGTTCCAGAGACCTAATGGGCACCAGGGTAACTAACGCTAGTTCACAATACTCTATTGTTCACTCAAAACATTCTAAGAGAGTAGTTTGTAAATGTTATTAAACGCACAAAAACAAAATACAACAAAAACAGAGAAAAGGTAACTGTGAGGGAGTAGGTATGTTAACTAATTGATTATAGCAATCTTTTCACACTGTGTACATATTTCAGATCATTCTTACCCGAACACTGTTTTGTCAGTGATACCTCAGTAAAGCTGAAAAAAATTTAAGGAAAACTAACTCAAAGATAAAAGTTACAGGAGGCAGGCCAGGGATATGACTCAGCCGCATAGTGCCTGACTGGCAAGCACAAGGTCCTGAGTTCAGTTCCCAGGACCAAAACAAAACAAAAGAAAAAAGAAAAGTTACAAGAGGCCACTGTTTTGGACCAAGCTCCTATTGTAAACCTCAATAGATCAGCTAAGAATAAAAAGAAAGAAAGACATTCCTGCCTCTCCCAAAGCCAAAGTGAAAAAGGTGTTGAAGGCTGAGAACAAAGGGGTGAAAGGCATCCAGGTCACTCACCTTCTAGGGACCCCAAATTCACCCTGTGGCTCTGCAGGCAGCCCAGATTCTGTCAGAAGAGGATCCCCAGGAGAAAGGCGTCTAACCACCACATCAAATTTCCCGACCACTAAATCTGCTGTGAGAGAAGACACAAGACAGCGCCCTTGGACATCGAGAGTGACACGCACCAGATCCAACAGGCTGTGAAAGCAGCTCTGTGACACTGATGCCACCAAGGGCAACACCCTGGGCAGACCTGGTGGAAGAAGGAGGTCTTGGACAGTTAGCGCCTGCTTATGATACTTTCAGTGTTGTCAACAAAACTGGGACCATCTAAACTGGTTCCAAGTGACCGATTCTAAAAATACATGTTTTCACCATTTTAAAAAAATCAAAAGTCATTAAGGTGGGAGACCCACATTGCCAAACTGAACTAAGCTGTTGATCTGAATTTCAGAGAAATAAGACTCACAGTGACAAACACCAAATTTTCCAAACAGGCCAACTTTGTTTTGCATGATAGTAAAGATCCTTTTGCTTTGATTCTTGCATAAAAGAACCTGATATTAATCAGTTACTTACCTACCGTTCTGTCTCCCTACCTCTGACTTACAAAGAAGCAGCTTGAAATGAAGAATCTGGGTTTTTTGTCCTTTTGTTCCTGCTTTTCTGAGCCCTCTCTAACTATAAAACCAACCTTTTCTGCTCAGCCCATCAGAATGTTTACTTTATTTTACGGAATAAAATGTTTCCCAATTCAAGAATTAAAATAAAACCATGGTAAGGGGTATGGCTCAGTGGCAGAGTGCTACCTCACATGCAGGAACCTTAAATTCAACCCCCAACATCATTAAATAAACAACAACCAGACATAGAGATGCATGTCTGTAATTCTAGCTGCGAGGCTGAAGCAGGAGGATAGCTTGCACAACGACATACAGTTAGGATTGTACTGGATGATCTCAAGATTGGGAAATCCCTAAACTCTTTTCTTCTTGTGCAAAATCCTTGAAAGTATATGAAACAGATGCAACAGGATGCACTTCCAGAATGAGGTATCTGACAAGCCAGATAACCTCAGGCTTTAGTTTTACCTTTGTTATGTTTTATTTGGCAAGTTATTGAAACAATATGAGACTTATTTTCCACATCTGTAAAATGGGAATAATAGAACAGTCTATTTATTGACTTGTTGTGGATATTACATAAGAAAAAAATGTAAATCATTTACTAAAGTAGCTGGTACATAATAGTAGATGCTTTTCTTATCCAAGAACCTCCATTTGTCTAATTTAAGACACTGCCGTTAAATAAAAAATATCTCTGAGTAGTCACACTGTAAAATACTGTGCTAGTCATTTGTACTGTAGTGTAATGACTGCAATTCTTCCTCCAAAGCACCATGAAGTTGGGAGGAAAGAGGGGGGGAGAGAGAGGTATTGGGCAGGAAAAAGGAGAAAGTAAAGCGGAAAACAAAACTAGATGCAAAAGAAGTACTATAGCCCCTAAAATCTTCAGTGTTTAAATTCTTTAAAAACTGCTAATAAAGGAAAGATCCCAGTGTTCCAGCATTTATCCTGCCTTCCCTGTACAAACTGCATTTCTGGGAAACTACAATGTTGATAAGAGAAATTTTTCTTTCAAGGGATTTTGGCTAAGCCATCAGAAACAACACTAGACAAACGGTATTAGCATATGCAACCTCTAATGAATTAATACTTCAAGGTAATAATCAAGGGCTACTCACACCACAGAAACAGAGAGAACTGAGCTTTTCATGTCTCTAGAAAAAAAAAAGATTATAAGGTATTTCTTCCCTAACCCCAAGCTTACATCTTTGGATCTAACCATCTGTTTCATGGTTGTACAAAGAACAGAGGAACAGTTTAAAAATCATACAAAAGCCATCAGCAAAGTCCAGACAGTGGGAAACTCTGTTGGAGAAATATCTAGTTTCTTCAACAAATAAATTACAAGGCAAAATACAGAGCATGCTAGAAACCTTGTACATTAAAAAAGATTTAAGAGGTACCCCAACCAACAGTAAAACATAGACCTTTCAAAAATTCTTGATTCAGGCAGACCAACCATAAAAGTAAAAGATAAAAGTAAAATGATAAAATCAGTAAAATTTGTTGGAATATTTGAAAATATTAAGAAGTTGCTACTAAATTTTGAGATATGGTAATTGTATTATGGTTACTTTTTAAAGAGTCCGTATTTTATCGGGTGTGGTGACACATGACTATAATCTCAATATGAGGAAGGCCGAGGCAAGAGGATTGCCACCACAAGTTCAAGGCCATCCTGGACTATATAGTGAGTCCAAGGCCAGCCTGAACTAATAAGATCTTTCTCAAAAAGGAGACAGACAGACAGAGACTATATAGAGATACATGTTATTTATATTACATGTCTATATTTATAAATATATATTTAAATATGAAATAAAATATAGATAAGACGATTCAAATTAGTACAGTGAGGGATGAAGTTCAGGACACGCTATCCCAACATATGACCCTTGGCATTTGCGAAAGAAGCAGAAGCAAAGACAGTCACTCTTTCTTACCTTCCTCCCCTGAAGCAGGTCATAAGTTCCTATTGGGAAGGAGACTCCTTACACAGAGGAAAGGAAAATTCCTTGCAGACTCAGGGACAGACATGGAATCTGAGCAAACAGACCTTGCTAACTTCCCCCAAATTTACCAGCATTAGATCACATCCCTTTGCCCAATCCTGCTTCCAGCTTTCATGAAAGCTAAGCTTAAAAATATACAAGTTTGCCTGTCCCTTTGGTTCTTCATTTCATTAATGAAGGTTCCCAGGTCAGGTTACTCTTTCTCACCTATGAACCTAGCTAAAACAGATGGCAAAAGGAAATCTCTCTTCCCTTGCAGAGGTTTTGAGCTTTTAAAAAGTAATAAAGTAATGCCAGGCATGGTGGGACACACCTGAAATTCCAGCACTTGGGAGACTGAGGAAGGAGGATCACTGCGAGCGTGAGGCCAGCCTGGGCTACAGAAGAGCATTCAAGGCCCACCTGAACTACACAGTGAGACCCCATCTCAAAACAAAACAAACAAACAAAAAGATAAACAAAGTAAAATAAAATTGCAACAACAATTTTAAAAATCAGAATTTTTTAAAACCCCATAATTTTCCCTCTGATCTTGCTTCTCGCTTATGATTTACTGATAACCCAGGGTTCTATGAGTCCCAGGTGTTTAAAAGCTTTGAGATGAACAACATGTTGTTTTTATTATTATCATTGATTTCTAATATTTATTGATAGCCTACATCATTTGATTAAAGCCAGTCCAGGAAAATGTTAAACCAAAAGAAAACTATGGAACTCGCCCTGTGACAAAAAAAAATCAGACAAATCACCCAACAGGATACAAAATCCAGGGAAGCTGAAAGCAGTTCCTGTGAGATCAGGAGCAAGAAAAGGTGTCCGCTGTCGAGGTCCTTATTCAACACAGTACTGAAGTCTGAGCCAGAGCAATTAGGCAAGAGACAAAAAGCAGAGATACACAAACAGGAAAGGAAGACAGCGAACCATCCCTGTTGGCAGATTATGATTCTGTTCATATAAAATCCAGACAACTCCACCAGGACTGTCAGAAGTGATAACCAGTCAGTAAAGGAGCAGTACACAACGTCAGCCTACAGAAGGCAGGAGCTTTTCTATCCACCAGTAATGAAGCTGACAGAAAGAAATCAAGACAATGCCATTCACAACAGTGCCAAAATAATAAAATATGAAAATATAAAACCTAGCAAAAAATTTAACCAAAAAAATGAAAGACTCCTAAAATGAAAAGTTAAAACACTGATAAACACAAAGAAAATGGAAAAAATTTCCTTGTTTATGCATTGAAGAAAATTAACATTATGCAGTGCAGTTGAAAAATACAGTGAATGTTTACATTTTTACAAAATTTTCTGTACTGAAAGACAGGTCTCCTGAATCCCCTCAGTATACTCCCCTTGCTTCATCAGCCTCGTCCAGGCATTCGTGCCCTCCTTGAAGCAGCTCTGAAAGTCCTCTTCCAAGCCTGCAGCTGCGCCACTGGGACTCCTCAATGTCCTGAACTCATTCAGAACAGTTACTCTTCTGGGCATTCTGGCTTTGGGAAAAAGCTAGAAGTTACAGGACACCAAATGCAGTGAATAGGTCAGGACGCACCCTAACATTTTTATGAGACTGCTTTTGTGCTGGATGGCAGCAATCCTCTATTTTTTATTACCCCTCTTAAAGACACAAAGGAGGACTTTTCTTAAAGACACAAAGGAGGACTTGCAGAGCGGCAAAAAGAGGACCGAGAGACGGGGAGGAAGGGAAGAGATAGAAAAGAATTCAGATGTGTTATGCACATGTACTGACTCCCCGCCAGGAATGTGATCGCTATGGACTACAAACATGTAGTCATAAAAATATTTTTTACAAAACTCCTCCTGAGGTCAGGGTAATAACAAAAATTGAAAAAAAGAATTAAGATGTAATATGTACATGTACCAACGCCCCACAATGAATGTAATCATTATGTACTGTAAACATGTACTAATATGAATTTTTTTAAAAGAATAAATTTGTTCAAAGTGAAGGAAAGTATTCTGAAGGAGATTAATGGTCATGTCTTTTACAGTAATAATGGCGATCCTCCCACCTCAGCTTCCCACATATTGGATTACAGGCATGCATCACCATGCCCAGCTTTAATACTTCTTTTGATTGAAACATTCACCACATATTTTAATTACCCTTTGTATTAATTAAAGTGGCTAGATTACCAAAGCCATCTACAGATTCAATCCAATCTCCATCAGAATACCAATGGCATTTTTCAAAGAAGTATAACGAACAACCCTAAAATTCATGTGGAAGTACAAAAGACCTCAAAAGCCAAAGCAGTTTTGAGCAAAAAGATCAAAGGTAAAGGCATCACAATACCTGATTTCACAACTTAATGCAGAGCCATACTAGCCAAAACAGCACAGCCCGGGGAAGAAAGATTCACAGAACAGTGAAACAGAATAGTAAACCCATATTTCTATAGCCAACTTCTTAACAAAGCTGCCAAAAATTTACACTATAGGAAGGCAATTTCTTCAACAAACAGTATTGGGAAAACTAACTATCTGTATGCAGAAGACCTCTCTTACCCTGTACAAAAAAATCAATTCAAAATGGACTACAGACCTAACTGTAAGTCCTAAAAGCACTAAAAGAAAGCATAGGGAAAATATTGCAAGACATTGCTACAGTAAGTGATTCTCTGGATGGAACTCCCAAAAGCACAAAAAGCAAAAGCAAAAATTAACATTACATCACATACAACATTTCTGTACAGCAAAGGAAACAGAATACACAAACAATCTGCAGTCAATATTTGTCAACTATTAATCAGATAGAGGGTTCATATCCACTATGTATAAATAACTCAATAAAACTTTATTAAAATAACCCAATTAAAATGGGCAAATGAGCTGAATAGATACTTCTAAAAAGAAATACAGATAGCCAACAAATATATGAAAAAAATACTCAATATCATTAGGCAGCAAGGAAGTACAAATAAAAAATACAGAGAGCTACCATCTCACCTGAATTAGAATGTCCATTAAACACACACAAATCCTGGCAAGGGTGTGCAGAAAAGAAATTCTTGCACTGTAGGTGGGACTGTAAATCAGTACAGGCCTGTTGGAGAACAGTATAGACATTAAAGAAACTAAACATCAGAGCTAGGCATGGAGGCACATTCTTGTAATTCCAGCATACTGGGAAGCTGAGACAGGAAGATCAAAAGTTCAAGCCCAACCTGGGTAATTTAGCAAGATCCTACCTCAAAATCTAAAAATAAAGGGGTGGGGATGTAGCCCAGTACAAAGGCCTAGGTTCACTATCTATCACCACCAAAAATAAAAACAAACAACTGGGAATGTTGTTCAGTGTGAAAGCTCTGAGTCTAATCCTCACTGCTGAAAACAGGAAGAAAGGAAGGAAGGAAGGAAGGAAGGAAGGAAGGAAGGGAGGAAGGAAGGAAGGAAGGAAGGACCATCATATGACACAGCTATCCTTCTTCTGAGTTTATCCAAAGCAAATAAAGTCAGAAGACAAAGAGATACCTTCATGCCACGTTTATTGTAGCATTAGTCAGCATAACTAAAATATAAAATCAGTGTGGGTTCCCAACAACAGATGGATGGGTGGATAAAGAAAATGTGGTATATATACACACCAGTATAATATTCAACCATAAAAAAGAGTGACATTCAGTTACCGGCAGCAAAAAGGATAGAACTGAAGGATATGGTGTTGTATGAAATAAGCCAGACCAGGAAGAAAAGTATTGCAGGTTCTGTTTTATGAATTCTCTGTGAGATGGCTAAAAAAAAAATTTAAAAACTGACTACTGGTGGGGGGAGGGAGAATCAATATATGCTGTATTTGTAGAAGGAAATATACACTGAACATCATTATAGGTACAATTAATATGTCATTAAAACAAAAAAAAATTTTTTATCGGTACCAGGGATCGAACTAACGACCACCTGCTTGCAAGGCAGGTGCTTATGCCACTGAGCTAAATCCCCAGCCCCAAAACAAAAATTTTTTAAATAAAATTAGAAAACAGGAAGGTTAGAAGTAGTCACTCACTTTGAGTTCCTTGAATTTGTGTCTCCTCCAGTCTAGTATCAGCTGCTGGAGTCCAGGAAACCAGACTTTATTCTTCTGTCTATTCCCAAATCATGGCTCAGAAAAAAACAATAAAAAAAAAAGAATAGTTCAGAAGAATACAAAAAAGGAAACCACAGTCCAGACATGATGGCACACCCCTATAATCCCAGCATTCTGGTAGGCTGAGGCAAAAGGATCCCAAATTCACATACAGCCTGGGCAACTTAGCAACTTGGTAAGACGCTTTTTCAAAATAAACAAATAAAAGAGGTTTTCAGGTACATTCAACTACACTCAGAAGTCTCCACTCACTACTCTAAACCTACAGCAACCTTGATTTCCATCACAGCCTCCACTACATCCAGAGGGCCCCAACCAGAAACTGTGATCTCAAATGAACACTGACCTGATCCCTCAAGGGTAAGGGCTTCTCCTGCAGCACCTTGCAAAAGTGGAGAAAACGATCTGTCAACCCCTGGCCTGCCTCAGCTAATCAGCAAAGGCTGGCCTCCTCCTCCTCCTGTGGGGCGCCACTTCCCCATCAGAGCCCGCTTCAGCAGCCCTGAGCGGAAGCTCCTTCTCCCACTTCCTTACTGTTGAGCTCCATCTAGTAAGCCTTCCTGTGCCTTGCACTATTGCATCCCAAAACACTTTCCTGAGATGACAGACAATGAACTTAGGTCATGAGGGGTGGGGGTGCTAGCTGAGGTCCCCATTTCCTCTTTTAGGGATCTCCTTGGAGCTCCTGTGCTGATAGTAATGCACTCAGCTGGTGTCTGCTTTATTGAAGAACTGCTTTGTGTGAAGGAAAAAAAAAAATCCTGCAAATCTAGTCAGACGTGTTGTGTTGTTGGGCTAGGGATACAGCTCAGTGGCACAACACCTGCCCTACAGGCAGGAGGTCGTGAGTTTCATTTCCAGTATAAAATAAAACATATTGTATCAAAGTAGAGAACAGCATATTTTCCCAACCCTCAACAAAAGTCATAATACAATAATGTAAACATTATGTGAATTCAGTAGAAACCATATTTTGAATTTTACATATGGATCTTTTCCTGGACTAGTAACATGTAGCACTATATTCCCTTTCAGTGCTGGACAGTAGCAACCAGCCACAGCTCCTGGTCACAATCAGTGACCACAATGGGAAACAACCAACACTGTATCACTGACCATGTTACCAGCATGTTTTGAATACAGTTGTTCCATAAATTGCATGAGTTATACATCACTTTACAATAAAATAGACACTATCATAGAAGATTATACCTAACTGTTAGCTAATGTAAGTGTCTGACCACATATAAATGTAAGTGTAACTAAGCTATAGTGAATAGGTTAGATATATAATATGAAGTATTGGCTTATAATATTTTCAAGTTACAGTTAATGTATGGAAGAATATAACCCCATTATAAGTTAAGGAACATCTAGTATTTAAAACAAGCAAAAATGGATGATGCAGTTCTTATATATTAGTGCTAAAACTGTATTTCGGCTTAAAAAGCAACAGAATGACAAGACTGTAGGTGAGTGTGCAGGTAATACATGGAGATTTGGGTGGGGAAAGGACACAGTGGTAGACACAAAATTTTGGTAAAAATCTAGTTCTTGGGTTAAAGGTGAGATCACAATAGTCATTTTACTGTTATGTTTAATAGCTAATGCTAATGTTATGTGTAACCTTGCATATATGTCATTTTTATTACAAAAGACCTTCCGGAGTCAGTTGGGTTTAATTATGAAGTTGGTCAGGGAAGGACTGGTGAGAGCGTCACACACCAAAGGCAACAAAAAGACTGAAAGACAACTAGAGCTATTTTCTGATTCTGCAAAACATTTTAGGATTACTTCTAGGTATATTCCAGAAGAACTGAAAACATTATACCACAGTGATATATGTGCACCCATGTTTATAGCAGCACAATTTGTAATAGCCAGATCTTGGAAACAACCTAAGTGTCCATCAGCTGAGGAATGGATAAAAAAGTTGTGGTATTTTTATACAATGGAGTATTACTCAGCTATAAAGAATGATCACATTGAGATATTATAAATAAATGGGCGCAACTTGAGAGCATACTCATAAGCAAAATAAATTAAACTCACATGTATAAATACCGAATAGTTTCCTTAGTGTAAGGAACGGTAAGAATACATAAAAGTATGTGGTAATCATAATTCCCCATGATATTGCTTTGAAGCCTTATAATGTTTTCATTCATTAATTTGAATAGTTTTATTCTGGGTTGTTTGATTTTATTGTCTGTGATGGTATGAACAGTTATTTTGAAGAAAACAAGACAATACAATAGTTAGTGCTGATTTAACACCATCTTGTTTTGAAGTCCCATCAAGCTTTTGTTCTTCTGTCTCCATTGGTTTTATCATGTTGTATCTTATTGTACTTTATTATATGTGATAGTATAAACAATTTTTTATAGACAGGGAGATAATACAGAAACCATTGTTCGTTTTCTGTTAGTTGGTTCTAAATACCCTGTAATACTTTCATTCTCTTGAATGGTTTTACACTGTCATGTTATGTTTGATGTTATAGTATACAAAGTTACACTCAAATATTTCAAGGAAAGAAACACTATGGTAACTACTGTTATGTCAGGTTATCTTGTGGTGAAACACTATGTTGCTTAAAACTGTTCTGTTCTGAAAAAAATTTTTTAGGATTTATTATTCAGGTCTTTTTTGTGAACCTCCATGAATCGATTTCCAAAAATATATAGCATTTCCCAATGCACTAGATCACAGAGCACTTTTTAAAAAAAGAATAAAACCAAACAAAATAAAGCCAATTTTTTAGAAAATGAAAGCGATACAGGACTTCAAAACACAGTAACAGAAAATCAACAATGCCTACCATATAATATCTTCATCTTCAAAATAACTGCCCAGACCATCACTCAGAATAAAATCAAATAAAGCAAAACAAAATAAAACAAGCAATAAAAACAACATAGGGCTTCAAAACACAATAATGGGAAATTAACAATGGCTATCACAATGCCTCTTGTTTTCTTCAAAATAACTGTCCAGACCATCAGACATAGGCAGGTGAAATTAACCAAACAATGCAAGAATTAAGTTGCTTTTTTACCTCAATGGTTATCTTTTCAGAAATTTCAAGTACTCAACTTCTAATTTCCACTATGTCTGTGTCTCCTGAACTTGTTCTTATGAGAGCTGGAGGTCTGAGATTGTATTTTGCTCCTTCATTTTGACTTTTTCCTGTGCTCCTCCAAATCAGCCCATTTCTGCATTCGACATGCTTCCTGCACTGGCTGGCAGTCCCTCGGTGTAGTGGACCGGACAAGGTACCTGGGTTCCTCTGATCTGGGGTTTCTGGAGTGGGGAACAAACAGGGATGATGGTTCATTGATGCTCCCCTGATGGCTGTGGGCCTTGGTTTGTGGCTTCTTCCTTTTCACCCATTTGCTCACAGGTATGGTTTGGCTCTGATATTTCTTTGCTGATTTTCTGTCTAGTTGATCTGTCTCTCTGTGACCATGGGGTACCAAAATCTCCCTTTCCAACTGTGTTATTGCTCATTTGATTTTCCGTGTCTACCCATAACTATCCTATATAGTTGGGTGCTGCCATATTAGGTTCATATATACTCATGATTGCTATGGTGTTTATGCTGTCTACAACTTTCTCACCGACCCCAATCAATCTTGTCTTATCCTTCTTTGCTTTTTCTTGTGGCTGTTGGATTGCTATCTCATGGTCTCTTGTTATTTCTGAGATATTTTTCTTTTCATGATCACAAGCTGCAATTCTGTCTTCAGGATCTGAAGTTGTATCCTTTCCTTCATTCCATCTGTTGCATATACTTTCAGTGGAGGTTTTAATTGCCTGGATCTCTGTTTGGATCTGTTTCATGGATTCCATTTCTCTCCTATGTTGGGCATTTTTTGTTTCCATCTTTTTCTAAGCTTTTCTATTCTTTTATTTGTGTCTTCTCTAATATCTTTAATTTTAAGCATCGCTTCTTTTTGTACCTGAGAGATCATTTTCTCTCTGTAACCATTTCCATTTGTTTTTTTCCCTTTTGTTGTTATCATTTTAAAGTTACAGTGTTTGACTTCCAGTGTCATCCATCTCATTGAGTTCTAGGCCTGTCCTGGGTGGCTGGGGGTGTCAGGAAACACTCAGCCCTGCAGCTTGCCATTCACCACCTTCTCGTTTTCCTTTTATTTTATTTTCTATATTGATGCCCACCAACTTCTCATGATATATAGCTCTACCGCTAGCACCGAGGCCTCTCTCAAGGAGGAAAGGAGATGTCCATTCTTCAGGGATGCTCTCCTCTCCAGATGCAGTTAGTTCTCTATAGCTATCCCAAGAACCTTCCTTCTCCTGGTGTTTACAGTGATAATGTCCATGTTCCATCCCAGAGTTGTGCTGCGTATGGAGCCGACCTTGGCCTCTGGATGCCTAGGCTGGGACTGGTCTTCTGTTAGCGAAGTTTTCCAAAATGCAACCGCTGTCTCCTTGCTGCTGCTTCAGATTTTCCACGTTACTGGCCTCACTGGTTACTTTGCCCTCTAAAGGTGTGTGTGTCTGTGCACCAGGCTGCTGTCCTGGGTCTTGAGGTTCCCTCTAGTCTTACACTTTTCCGGCCAGCTGTCTGGAGGGACAAGGACAGAAGCCAGGAGCATGAACTCACAGTCTTCCAGCCTGCATCGAGGAAGGGCACAGAGCACAGACTCCTTGCATGGTGGGGATGGAGGTGGGTAATGCACAGAGCACTTTTATAATTACCTACTCAGGAAATCATACTGATCCTTAAGACTGAACTAAAGGCTTACGAAATAAATGTTGTCTACTTACTTAAGAAATTTTCATCTCTAACAATATAACACCAGGTTCTCAGAATAACATTGCTGCCAAAAAGTAAAAACAGGCCAAATATATTTTTAATTTAAAAAAGTATAGATAGGCATGGTGGTGGTGCATGCCTGTTATCCCAGCACTCAGAAGGATGAGGATAGAGGCCAAGGCAGGAGGATGGCCAAGACTTCAAGGCTAGTCTGGGCTACACAGTGAGTTTAATGGGCTTCATAGTGAGTGCAAGGCCAGTCTGCACTACATAGTGAAACCCTATCTTAAAAATAAAATTAATATATATACACAGATGGCAAAAAGTAAAAACTTTTATCCTTATTTTAGTTTCTAGTACCATTCCCCACAAAAAGAAACCAGGACTCCTTGGAGAAAGAGAAGATTACAGAAGTAGGGCAGGAAAGAGGCAGAGTAAGCTGGGACGAATTTGTCATGCTCAAAAACAAGAAAATTTCCAAAGATTAATGGAATGACAACAAAAGGCCACAGGAGTCAATTGAAAGGGATTTTACTGGCCTAATTGTGGTCATACAACATCAAAAAGAGTAATGGTTATACCTAAAATGATAAACATTGACTATATAAAAACCCCAAAGTTGCCAGGGACTTAGCTCATCAGCATAAGCACCTACTAGGTCGTGAGTTCGATCCCTGGTACCAAAAAAAAAAAAAAAAGTTTGTAATACTGAAAAAAAGATAAAGTCAGGGTGACTCATACGTTACCATCTAAAGAAACTTTTAAGCCAAATTCTAGTTTTGAAATGTAGCTTATTCCTAGTGAAGGCCTTGAGTTCAATCCCCATAGTAAAAAAATTTAAAAAGAAAATTGGTAACCATTGCAGAGAATTACACATTTATCTTCACTTTCTAAAATGAAGTATGTATCAGGAAAGCCAACTGGCCCTATTTTACACAAAAATACTCGTTAAGAAATACAGAAGAAATAATTGGATGAATTAAAAATCATCACTTCACAGCCACAGCTTGAAATTACTGGTTTGTTTTTTTAACAAATGAGTGATTGGTTGTTGATTAACAGAAGTTAAAAGTATTACACAACTGGTGGAGAGGGAACAAGATAGTGAAATGGTGCTGAAGGAACATCACACAGTGGCAGCTGTCACCCCCATCAGGAAGATAAGGCTCTGTCCTTGTGACTCCCAATCATATGCATAAGAAAGAAATTGTTAGTATCAGCTACCTGTGCACATGCAAGTGCTGTCTTTTCTTAGCTAATACAACTTGTGCTTCCGCTCAAGCATTTAAACCCACCAAATTCTAGGTCTGGGTTGCAAAAAAAAGATACAACTTATAGAGTCTGACCTCAGAGATACTAAAAATACGGTTATGATGTTTTAAACATAGACACTTAAGAAACATACACATTTGAAGTGAAATTTAAGCATACTCTTTAAATACAAAATAATATATGATTAATAACAAATGGTTGATGTTTTCAGTCTGTTACATTTATTAACTGCAATGCCCTATGATTGGATCTGAGATACAATGTACTTAAGTCTTTTTTTTTTTTTTTTTAAGAAATAGTGTCACACTCCCAGGGCTTTCTCATAGAGGAGAAGTAAAGTAGAATTTGTCATATAAGAAAAAGTAAAATTGTCTCCTTAATTATGTTTTATTTGCTACATATTTTGTCTTTCATTCAAAAATTGTATTCTTGAATAAGTTTTCCCCAGTGGATAGTCTCCTGAAAACATCAACATTTTATTAAAGACTGGAACTTTTCACAGCAAAAGAGAGAAATGTCTCATTTCTAATTTTAGTGTATCAAATAAATTATAAATGAAGACCTCTAAAGTTGTTTTCTCTGAGGAAAAATGGAAAAGGGGAAACAAAGACCACTTTATTTTTCAACAACACGTAGGGGAAATTAGCCAAATCAGAGCCTCAAGATCAGAGCACAACTATAAATCAGTCAAAAGCATCTGACAAATTCTAAGCCACACTGCCCTGGTCCATCGGCTGTAAATAATGGAATAAGTAGGAGAGTACCAGAATTTGAACTCAGGTACTCACTGCAGAGCCCATTGATCTTTGCACCTTGACAGCTACTTATGGTTACATAATCCTTTATAAGTTATGGACCTTTCTTTATTCTTTCCTCCCATGATACCTTGGGAAAAGGTGTCAGAGTAGTACAATCAAAACTCATACACAAACAACGCTTATAAGAAATACAATACAAATATAGTTGATGCTCCTAATAACATATCCTGTCCTCAATCTTCACCCCTCAACCTTTGTATATATAGCATGCAATATATAGTATTTTCTTACATTTTTCCCATATTAAGGGGCTGGGAGTTTAGCTCAGCAGCAGAAGCACCTGCCTTGTAAGCAGGTGGTCATGAGTTCAATCCCCAGTACCGATAAAAAGTTAAAGTTAAAAAAAAAAAAGACTCAAACATTTTTCCCATATTAGTAGAATTTATCTATCATATGTAATATTATGCATTGTCACTATTATCAACACTTTGTTCCTTGCTTAATTTTTGTTTGTTCATCTACTTTTTCTTGGTTACCAACAAAGGATACTACAAAAAAAAATTTGTTTTTTTTTTTGGTGCCAGGGATCGAACTCACAACCTCACACTTGCCAGGCAGGTGCTTGTGCCACTGAGCTAAACCCCCCACCCCTACTACAAAATTCTAACAATGACTTTTCAAGAATGTGTAAGAATTTCTCTTAAGAAATACTTGAGGAAAAATTTCTCCCAAGATTGAGTATTGCATCCTTTTCTAATGGAAGCAGTTTCTGTGACCTGGTCAGGCCTGCATCAGTCCAGCCAGCATCTTGTCAAAACTTTATGAAAAACCATGACAGAGCAATTATGTCTCTAAGACATTCCCAGATTTCTCACACTCTGTAGCTATGAGACAATAATTTTTTGCTATACTAGGTTTAGAAGAAATGTGTTATACTGTAAAAGATAACTAACAGGAAGTTGCATATTAACAGTGTTCTGACCACAAAAACAAATCCTGAGCCACACTACCCAGGTTCAAATTCTGACTTTACCACTCAAGCGTGTGACTGCAGGCAATCATTACGCATGCGACGACCTCAGCTTACTCATCTGCAAAGTGGGGCCGATAACATCACAGCACATAAAACCACTATGGATTGAGCTGCTACATGTGAAGACCTAAAAGAGTACCTGGCTCCAGGAAGTCATTCACAGAAGAGTCAATGTGAGCGTGAAACTGCAGGCTCAACCAAACTAGAAATCTGGGAAATAAATTAAAACCACAATGAGACACAATTTGCTTCCCCATAAAAGTGGGCAGACAGTGTACATTCTTAGCTTGCATGGTAGCTATGTGCTCTTTGTGTGATAATTTGGGTTTCTGTTTTGTTTTGTTGTTGTTGTTTTGTTTTGTTTTGTTTTGTTTTTGAGACAGGGTCTTGCCATGTAGCTCAGTGTAGCCTTGAACTCACTAGGTAGACCAGGCTGGCCTTGAACTCAAAATAGTCCTCCTGCCTCAGACTCCTGAGTGCTGGGATTATAGCTGTGCACCACCGTGCTCAGTTTTGTATGACAATTTACCAAGATGTGATGTCTGATTTGAGCACTGTTAATGTGTTATATCTCAAAAAGTTTAAAAAAAAAAAAAGCCAGGCACGGTGGTGCACTCAGGAGGCTCAGGCAAGCAGACTGCTGTGCGTTCAAGGCCAGCCCAAACTACAAAGCAAAACCTTATCTCAAAAGCCAAACACACATACACATACACACACATGCGTGTGTGCCAAAGACATACAAAAAACTGAAACTCCCCAACCCTAAGCTAGACAATGCTCTGTCCATACCAAATATTAGCAAATACGCGGAACACAAGAATTTTCACATTTTGCTGTTAAGAGTACAAACTGATAGAACCAATTGGGAGAGAACTGGACAATAGCAAAGTTAAAATCTACTACTAATGTTTCACCTGAATTATAAAACAATAGATTTGTCAATCTCTTTTAAACATTTTTTTTTTTTTTTAGCTAATCATGTTGGTGGTAAGTCATGAGAAATCTACTCTTAAGAAATTTTGAAATATACAATAGGTTATTGTCGTTATAGTGACTCTGCTATGCAATAGTTTTCACAAGTTTATTCTTGCTAGCTGAAACTTTGAATCCTGTGACCAGCGTCTCCCTACTTCCCCGCCCCATAGCGGTTTTCACTAGGCTACCCAGGCTGGGGGAGGGGAGCGTCAACAGCAGCACTAAAACTTGTGACTGGACACGTTTATATTCTTAAGAAGCCTAACAAAACAGGGAGAAAAGTCGAGTCTACTCACCGCCCCAAGCACAGCATGTTAAACATGCCTGGCATGCTCAGCATTCTGCTGTGTGCTTCTGAAAAGGAGAATTCCTAGACAGAACCGTAATCGGGGCTTTAAAAAAAAGAGTCAGAACCTGAAAAGGAATGAAGGATGAGTTATATTAGGAACAACGAAGAGAGTGGGGAAAGGGACTGCCTTGTGGTTAATTCAGCACTTAAAAATTTTTTTATTGTGGTAAAAATTGTGATACAAAATATGGTATTTTTAAGTGTACAATGCAGTGGCATTAATTACCTTCACGGTGTCATGCAACCATAACCACTACCTCCAACCTTTTCATGGCTTCAGTAAGAAAGGCTGGAGTCATTAAACAGTAACTCCCCATTCGCCCTCTCCCAGCCCTCCAGCCCATAATCCTTAAACCTTAATCCACACTGTGTTTGTGTGAATTTGCCCATTCTAGGAATTTCATGTAAATGGAATTATAGGATATTCTTTTTGTGTCTAGTTTATTGCACTGGCTCATCCATGTTGTAACACATATCAGAACTTTATTCCTTCTATGGTTGAACATTTCTTTGCATGTATATTCCAGACTTTGTTTATACACTCATCTATTAAATATTTGTGTTGCTTCCATCTTTTGACTATTATAAATAATGCTGCAGGGAACATTAACAGACAAGTATCTGTTTACATCCCTGATTTTTGTTTTGACTTGGTTTGGTTTGGTTTGGGTGCTAGGACCTCACAAACACTATGTACACACTCTTACCTCTGAGCTCAACTTCCAGCCTCACTTATGATTTTGATTTGCTTTTCCTTAATAATTAGCAATGTCGAGCATATTTTGTGGAGAAATATCTACTTGGATTCTTTTCCCATTTTTTAATTGGGTTGTTTTTCTTTTTTGTTGTTGCCCTGTTAAATTTTTATACATTCTGGATGTGAAACATCACATATGTGATTTGTAAACAGGGTCTCCCATTCTGTAGTTCATTTTCCTGCTAGTGTATTTTTATGTATAAGCCTCTTGCATTTTGATGAAATCTAATTTATCTGTCTCTTCTTTTTATGCTGTGCTCTCGTACCACATCTAAGAATCCTTTGCTAAATCCAAGGTCAAGATGATTTGCCCCAATGTTTTCTTCTAGGAGTTTTACTATTTTACTCTTACATTTGGTTCATTGATCTATCTAGTACTTTTAACTGACAAGTAAATAATGCTATATATTTATCAGGTACAATGTAATGCTAAGATATAGTCACAGTGGTGGATTGACAACTGGTGGCCAATTTATAACACTCAACTAAATTGAATTGGGTGGTGCAGGGTGTGAAAGGCCCACCTGAGGATCCTTGCCAATAGCATAAAAAGGAGAACTGGAGAGGAAGAGGTGGTGCTGTTGGTTCTCCTGGAGAAAGTTAAATCACACTGGCTTTCCTGATATGAACTCAGCTCTTCTTATCATGGGAGCTCAGGATCTTGTTATCTCTGAAGAGAGCTGCTTGGTACTTTTGGGAAGAGCTCTGGTGTTTACCTTGAGCTCTGCTTCCTGGCTCCAGCGTAGATTCCTCAGCCTGCTGGCTCAGATCCTTCATCCCACTGGCGCAGACATTCTAGCTTCCACTGCTGACCTTTGAGCCTCCCCAGCACAGATCTGTGAATCAGAATGCATGAGTCATTGTTGTGGCCTCTAGGCTTCCATCTGGGCTCCTGTTGGGCATTATCATAGGCTCTACCTCTTTAGCTGAATTCATACAAAGTCTTGCCATGGGATCCAAGCCCTCAGGAGGATTCTTTGGGTCTTTAGTGTGTGGATAGATTTCCTCAACTCTTGTATTTGACTCTTTGGGTGACTGTTATAAAATAATCTTATAAACTATGTGTCCTATGTTAAATTGTTCCCCTTACAAAACCCTGACTGCAACAATATGATACATCAGACTGCTAGAATATTACATCAGACTACTTAATATATCTATCATCAGATGCTCATTTCCTTATATTAAGGATATTTCAAATGCACTGTTTACAATCAATTGGATATTTTGAAATAGCTAGTACAGATGCTTTGACATTCTCAACACAAAGAACTGATGAATATTCAAGGTGGTAAATCTGCCTTTTACCCTGATCTGAACAATGCATGTTGCATAAATGAACTGAAACGTCACCCTGTTACTCCATGAATAGGTAAAATTATTACATATCAATTAGAAATAGAGGATAAGGGTGTAGTAGAACACAAGCCTAATACGTGCAAAGCCCTGAATTCAATTCCCAAAACCACACACAAAAAAAAATTCTTAAAGAAAAAAATCTACTCTTTGAGAAATATTAAAATATATAAAACATTACTACTAGTTAGTCACCACGCTGCAGCACTCATCAGAACTTACTCTAGCAGTCTGCCTGCCTGAAACTTTGTATCTTTTAATTACTATCTCCTCTTCCCTAGCCACTCCTCATATCTAGTTCTTCCGATGGAAGAAAGTAAAATTTTTCCCATAGTTATCATATAAACTATCCAAAATCATTTAAATGAAATTAGAAACTGAGTGAAATACTTTGTAATTGCTTAATCTCCCCACTCTCCTCTCCTGACTGAATAGGTGTGATTTACTGGTCACTACATTCATAGGGAAGATCCCACAGGAATAATCACCCATAAAAACTATTTTTAAAAAGAGGGCTACAAGTGTAGCTCAGTGGTAGAGCACTTGCCTGGCATACATGAGGCCTGAGATTTGATCACTGGGACTGGGGGTAAAAGGGAAGGGGAGCCCTTGTATTTTTCTTTTTCTTTATTTTTGGTTTTTTTGAGACAGGGTCTCGCTATGCAGTTCAGGCTGGCCTTGAGCTCACTTTGTAGCCCAGGCTGGTCTCGAACTCACAATGATCCTCCTGTCTCAGCCTCCCGATGTTAGGTCTGAGAAGAGGGGGATGGGAGAAGGAAAGAGGAAGGAATGGAAGGGAAAGAGGTCTGTGGAAGGAGTGGAGTGGACGGCCATGAAAGGAGTGGGCGGCGGTGGCTGTAAAGATAAGAAATATAAAATATAAGTAATCTTTATTTCGGGAATGCGGGGAGAGACACCCCCCGGGCCCCGGGGCGCAGGATCTCCACCCTGGGGCCGGCGGTCTCTCTCTGGAACACACTCTCCCTTTCTTCTTCTTCTCTCGAACACGTGGAGTGAGGCCCATAAGTAGCCTCTGTCTGGGGCGGACCCCAAGGGGCATTAGGGATGCACAGGTATTTTATTGGCACACGTTTGGCACCAGGGACAGGTTCTTAGGGATGGGGGTATGGGGTTACAGGTAAATCTATAGGGGCAGGGGAGGCTGGAGCCCCCTAACTTGGCTGAGGCTTTTCCTGGTTAAAGTGTCCGGTCTGGGCCAGCAACTCTTTCATATCCCGTCTTATGATTATTAGGAAAAGGGGCAAAGATTTCTCTCTGTAACTACTTCCTGCTGGCTGAGGGCGCTGTATTGGGGTCTAGGGGAGTCGACAGGATGAAGGTTGATGCCCAGGTAGACGCTGATGTTAGGTGTTTTAGCCAGGACAACTTCATTGGTGAATGCATGTATGTTAGACTGGAAAAAACAAAGAGACAAGATGTTATGAGGAGACATGGCACTGTCATATTTATGGACCCAAGTGAGGTAGAGGGAAAGGTGTCTTTGATTTAGACCTGTTATTCTATCAGGATGACGTTGAGGTGGCAAGGCAGAATTCTGAAAAATTAAACGTGGAATTAAGAGGAGTGAAGTCATGAGAGGTGCTTACTCCCCCATATGAAAGCATAAAAGTTAAAAGGTAGGTAGGTAAGGTTTGTCTCTGGTATATATGACGTTGGAGTCTGTAGGCAATCCTGTTAGAGAGTCCTGCTATAGAAATGATCATTAATAGAATGTAAGAAATTAAGAATTAAACTGGACAACAAAACATGACAACCTGTGAGTCGTAAGGCAGAGATGAGTATCAAAAGGATGGTTAGATCTATGGCCTGAGTGATGTGAAACCAGGATGGCAGTTTAAAAGGGAATAAAAGCATTTTAAGATTTAGGACTGGGACCTGTATAAAGATAGGCCCTGTTTGTAACTGGCATAGGTTGACCTTTAATACTCCATGAGACATTGAGGATTTATTAGCCTAAAAACTCAGTAAGAACTCTGTATATGTGGTCTCTTATGTCCACAAATATAGAGAATGTCTTACCTTGAGAGTTTTAATGTGATTTGGATTCTGAGACAGATATCCATCAAGGCGGTTGGCCCCTGTGACCTGTGAGGGTTACCAGTTAGGGTGGCCAGGCCACTGTCTGGTGGCCAGGATAACCCAACAGCCGTGGAATAAGGTCTTTTGGCAGTGACCTGTGAGAGCTACCAGGTAGGATGGCCAGGCCACTCTCTGGTGGCCAGGATAGCCTAAATAGCCCTGGAGTAAGGTCTCAAACAATGCCAGGATGGGGGATTTTGTCTGATGTCTTCTGATGAATTTGAGTGAGGCCCATGGCGGGGGGGCAGGTAGTTTTACCTTGTGTAGATTTGTCTGTCTCAGAATTGTAAGTGTTATTTAAAATATGAACAACCATAGCAAGGTCTCTGTGGAGCTTGAAGGTCAAGTTTTGCCTTGTTGTTTGAGATCTGGACTATAGTAAAAGTTATCTGTAGAATTAAGTAAGTATGTAGGAGCTTAATATTGGAATTTAAGATTATAAGGCAGGCAGGTTGGTAAAATTATCAGGTGGCCAGTAATAGTGAATAAATGGTAGAAAAATTGTAAGAAAAAAATAGCCTCTCTTGAGTGGAACTGAATTGTAAAAAAAAAGTTTGGGGTGGAACTGAATTGTAAAAAAAAAGTTTGGGCAGGGCCGCGAGACTTTGGAAACGCGCAGTGTTTAAGGCAGCTTGAGATGCTGAGATAGTACCTGTAAGAAGAGAGCAGAGTTGTGCCTGGGGCGGGATGAGCACCACCACACAGCAGTGGGGGGGGGGGCTGACATGGAACATGTAGAGTGGGCGCGGGGAATGCCTGGACATGGTAGGCGGGGCAGGCTGAGGTCCCACCCAGACGCCATCCATGAGGCGCTAAGATGGTGCAGGGAGCTGCGACTGTGTAAGGGGGTGGGGCTTGGAGGCCTGCAGTGGTGATCAGAGGTGGGGCCTGGCGCCAAGGAACTATGGCGGCCGTGGCACACGCCCAGCGCGTGTCCAGTGTCATGGGGCGGCAGTGGCAGCCTGTGTGTGGGGTGCCGCAGAGGGGTGGGCTGGCAAGGAACATGTAGACTGGGCGGGGCGAATGCTGGGACACAGTAAGTGGGGCAGGCTGAGGTCCCACCCAGACGCTTATTATGACGCGCTAAGTGGCGCAGGGAAATGATGTATTTTCATTGCGACCGTGTAAGGGGGTGGGGCTTAGAGGCCTGTAGTAGTGGCCAGAAGTGACGCCTGGCATCACCGACAGATGGCAGCTGCAGCTCGCGCCGGGCACCCCAGAGGGGCAGGGCAACAGCTGCGGCAGCGGCGGCAGCAGCAGTAGCAGCGCGGTTAGGGGCATGGCCCGCTGCACGCGGGGCCCCGCATGTGGGGCGGGGCGAGGGCGGCACTGTGGCGGCAGGAGACACACAGCATGAAGCGGAGCGGGCTCTGCTCTGAAGGCTCACGGGCCACGCCGCCCCGGGCATGCTGTGAAAGCGGTGGCTCCTAGGCAGCGTGGTGGCGGCGCGGTCAGGGACGTGGGCCGCTGCGCGTGGGGCCGTGGTGCGGTTAGTCTCACGAGTATTTGCCAGAGGCAGAAATGATCTGCTCCAATGAGCCGGTGCAACACGGAATGGGCTGGGCGAGAAGCTGAAACTGGGGCCCACAGAATTGGAACACGATGTGAGAGTGAAAAGAAAAAAAAAGCTGTTTAAAATCTAGAGCAGTTTTATGTGAATCTCTTATTGTCTGGTCTCATTTAAATCTCGGCAGAACGGCGGTGGCAGGGGTGGGTTGGCACGCACTGGCAAACAAAGGGAGCTATAATGTGGTGGGAGGAGGGAGAGAGAGGAGCCGGGCGCACGCGGGGGCGATCCACGGGAAGGGCCCCGGCTCGTGTCCAGAGTCACTGTGCCAGCCCCGTGGGAGATTGCCTCGTGACTGCCAGACCGCCGGTGCAACACGGAATGGGCTGGGCGAGAAGCTCCAGCTCTGAGAACTCCAGGCACCCTGAGGCAATCCAAACAACTGGCTGCTAGGTAGAGGGCTGTCACACCAATGCTCGAATAAATACACTGTGGTGGTTGAGCTGTGTTTTCCTCCTACCCACAGAGAGGGCTCCCCCTGACCTCAGACTTATGCATACTGTCTCTTATCCGTGTTTTTCCATCCTCTCATTGTCCCCACCCTACCCTGCAACTTTGAGAGCTGTGCTGGATGCAGCAGAGAAGAAATACAATCTGCAGAGAGAATGCAAGCAAATTAAAGGTAGGAAACAAAGACTACTTCACAGTGTGAGAGCAGGCCGCTGTGTAAGACAGAGCACAGAGGTAAGAAGGTGAATGGTGATGGCTATCTTTTGTACCTCCCACTCCACAGGCTGACATTAGATCCTGGCTGTCCTTCCAAACTTTACCTCCAGCTAAAATAATTGAAGATAACCATTTTCTGATTGGTCCCAGGCACAGGATTTGGGTGCTTGTGTCCTGGATCTCTGTGATTAATAGGTCACACCCACTTGCCCAGCTGTCTGGCCCTGTCCTAATGGCCTGTCCCGAGTGAGGAACTTACGAATAGGAAACGGGGACTGTATACCCTCCAGGGTAGTAAGCTAATACTGAGGAAAACAGACAGATACATTCCAGTGGTGCACAAACTGGTCATAGTCAACTCTAATCAACTACAGAGATTTGACTTACTAGCATTTTTCCATGGTGAAACTAGTGACTCAAGAACAAGAATAAAGGTTTAGGCTGCGAATTTAGCTCAGCAGCATAAGTGCCTGCCTTGCACATGTGCAGTAGTGAGTTTGATCCCTGGTACTAATTTTTAAAAAATTATATATATAAAGGTTTTTCCATCTGTGCATGAACAGGGTATGAAAATCCATCAAGCTCCATTATCTGCACTCTTATGAGTCACTCATGATTTCCAAATAATCTGAAATTTAACTACCAATTCATAATTTTCATGGATTTCCTTTTCCCTCAGTGTTTAGGACTAAGCTCAGGCTTTCATGCATGCTAGGCAAGCGCCTGACCCCTGAGTTATGTCCTGAGCTTAGATCCGTGGACATGCGATTCCATTAGCCAGCAATCTGGATCCTGCCCCCTAGATTACTGATGCATTACAAGGTGCTGCAATACTCAAAAGAAGGAAAATTACAGAGCATAAACCCGATGGAATGTCTTTTTTTTGTATTTGCCTATTAGTAAGTACCTGAGCATGTGTGTGACTAAAATTGATCTAACATTTGCTGTCGCTGTGAACAGAAAGAAAAGTTGAAGAGATGTGACACAGAGCCATCATTTACAGAAATTTTTGGAGATAACTGCTATTAATCAAAAGGAACCTAATTTATTACAGTGGCCACTCCTTTGGAAATTGTCCTTTGTAGAGTTACTTCCTCTCTTTTGACTGTCATTTGAAATTCTAAAGAAAAACTGCATCTAAATAATTTATATATTAACTGCTAATAATTTTTTTTTTTTTTTTTTTTTTTTGGTTCTTAGGATTAAACCCAGGGCCTCATACTGAGCTACATCCTTCCTCCTTTTCATATTTTGACACAAGATCACTTTAAATTGCTAAACTTCCCAGGCTGGCCTGGAGCTTGGAATCCTCCCATTTTAGTCTCCCAGCATGCTCACATAATCTCTCTAGATTTACAGAGCCAAGGACATTTGGTGATCTTCAGCTGGCATTTTAATGTGTGACACCCTCTTTATCTTCAGCCCTCTGCATCAGCTAACACAAATGTAAATCGCTATAAAGTTTACCTTGCAGAAAAGCAATGTGTTTGTCTAAAAAATTATAATTGAAACTAGCCTCAAGTGATCAAGGTTGATTGCAGTGTTCTTTGGGGGGGGGGGGTGGATACATAGCCTGGCATAGTGGTGCAAGCCTGAAATCCCAGCACTCCAGGAAGCTAAGGCACAAAGATCACAAGTTCGAGCCCAGCCTAGGCAATTTACCAAGACCCTGCTCAAAAGAGAAAAAAAATTTAAAGGGCTGGGGATGTAGCTAAGCACGCAGGCCTTGTGTCCATAATGTAGACTCGTACCCTGGAGGATGGTGTTGTAGTCAGGGGTTGTACACAGAGAACAATTGGATCAAGACATGGAGTTTATAATATTATTTTTATAATAGTCACCAGGAGTTAACACAGGAAAATGCAGGAAATCTATCCAAAACACCAAAGACATAGATTATTTAGTCAAGAGGCTAAACCTCATGGCAATGTCCCACATGAATCCAGATAAAAACCCAGAGCTCAGGACAATGCCTCCCACGAGTTCAACTGGAGGTCCAGAGCCCACAAGAAGGACTCACGCCAGTCTCTTACGGATCTGTGCCAGGAAGCCCCCAGGATCAGCGGTTGAAGCCAGAAAGTCTATGCCAGCAGGATGAAGGAGCTGTGCTAGTGGGATGAGTGTTCTATGCTGGAGCCGAGAAGTCACACTCACAACAAAGACCAGGGCTATCCTGAAGGCACCACAGCTGTCCTCAGCGACACGGAGGCCCCGAGCTCCTGGCAACTTTCCTCAATGCCATGCTGATGTAATCCAGCTGGTGTTAAGTTGACCACCAGTTCTTAACCCATAACAGATGGAGACCCTGCCCAGCATGTAGACTTTCTACCGTTCTTTCTCTGTCCAAAAAGCTTTTTCACACACTGAGTTCCCTAATGTGGGTTTGTTTTGGAGGATGATAGCCCCACCCATGTTCTCTAGATGCTGGCCCATAAATAACACTCCATTTCCTTCCTACCAACTCTCAGATGTAAGTATTGACTTTTGATTAGCAAACAGATAGACTTGGGTCGGGTAACAAATCAACATGCTTGAGTTCACATTTGATAAATGGCAAAAACAATACAAAATGATGTCCATCTCACGTCAGAGCCTATGCTCATTCCTTTCCTTTATATTAGCTTTCAAAACTGTTACTTTTATTAATGTGGTACTGACAACCAAAGTCAGGACCTTGCACATATGAAGTAATGCTTTACACAGAGCTATGTCCTCAGCCCCTTCTAAGAATTACCATGAGTAACTGTTTTCACTACTGCTGTTTATTATAACCTATATATATATATATATAAAAAACCTTCATAAGTCAAGAGAAAGATCAAAGGTAACTCTAAGAGCAGAAAGGGATATCTTCCTAATCTAAACTTGCTTGTTTGCAGGGTAACTTGCTTGTTTGCAGGATGTGACTTCCCCACAGGATGTTTGCCTAATCTAAACTTGCTTGTTAGCCCAACCCTTACCTGAACCTTGCTCTTCCCAAGAAATGTAACCCACGTGTTCCTGTTCTGTAGTGCACAGTGAAACACACACACACACACCCGGCATTGTGAGACCAGCAGATGTTTGCAGTTTTACAGGATAAAAATCCTTTCCTTTAGCTGTTAGGCATGCAGTCTTCCATATTGGCTACTGGAGGCTGCGTCGCCAGGCCTGTACTTTAATAAATAATTTTTTTCTTTCCAAATTATTTTCTCTGGCTCCTTCATACTTCGGGAAGTGGACCGCCACACTGTTAACCACTATTAGTGAAAATTTCTAGGTCACCTGGTTCTCATTTTTTGTAAGCTCAATATATAAAAATCTAGGGTTATCCAAAAGGTAAAAGATACAATATTTCAGATTCTTCATTCTGTGAAAGGCCTAACAAGATTTTATTCCTTTCAAAAGAAAGCATTTTTGGCCCCTTTAACATATGATTTAACTTATGAAAAATTAATATACAGAGAACATAAGCAAGACAGAGAGGTGAAGAAGGATGGGGGTTAAAGAAAGAATAAGTAATGAAATTTGTCAGGAATATAGGGCAGCGCTGGAAATAATTCTGGAAAGGTAACTTTGTTACACATGACCATGCCTTATTGGGCCACATCAGCTTAGTCTTAGAAGTACCTAACAAAAAGCACAGACCTAAATCCAATTAAGACTATATGAGACTGAGGGGATGGCTCAGTGGTATAGCACTTGCCTCGAATCAGTGTGACTCTGGGTTCAATGCCAAGCATTGCAAAAGATAATAATAATAATAATATAAATATCTATAAATATTTTTTGTTTTAACTTAGACATATGTCACAGTAAAAATTACAACAATTTGGTTCAATGATCTTAATTGGATTTATCTTCCATGCTAGAATTGGACGTTTCTTTCCATACAGTAGAATAATTGTTGTTATGCTCTGAGCAGAAAAGTTGGCTTTATAGACAGAGAAGAGCATTTATTTAGCTATGAAGCTCCAAACATTTTTAAATGTTTGTATCTGTACAACTACTGTCCAGTACATTTCCAGCAACCCAAAATGCTAACCCTACCTTCTTACGTACCCTGCCAGCCAAAAAAGAAACCCACTATTCTGACTTGTATCGCCAAGTGGATTTGCTAATTGATACTTGAACTTCATGTAAATGGAATGCACTATTTTTTATTTCCTTCACGTGTCTTTATGTCTGTGAGGTTCATTTATTTTATTGTAAGCAATAATCATTTATTTCCTATTTCCATTGCATTAAGATATGCCATAATTCGTTCTTTCATTGAGCCGTAGAACATTTGGGTCGCTACCCGTTTGGGATGTAAAATCAAACTTTCCTGTTATGATGGAAATTCTCCCAGCAAACTCCAGATAAGTGAGCTCTTCTTCCATCCACAGGAGACGTAAAACAGGCAGGCTTGTGAAGACTGGTAAGAAGCCATCCAGAGCTTAAAAGAGCTACTGCAACCTTTAGAAGTCAATACATTAGTCCTGACTTTTCTATCTAACTTAACGTTTTAATCACTATTAGGTTACTTTTCTGTATATTTGACTTGGTTAACTATTCAAAACTTGGCAAAGAACAGATGCCTTCCTTTACCAACCTTCTCACAATGGCATGTCAAATTTTCCCTCTAGTCAGGCTTGATGGCGCATGTCTGTTATCCAGCACTCGGGAGTCTGAGGCGGGAGAACCACCACAAGTTCAAAGCCAGCCTGGTCTACATAGTGAGTTCAAGGCCATCCTTGAACTATACAGTTAGACTCTGCTTCAAAAAAAATTCCCTTCTTTTCCTTAAGTAGCCTGCAAAATACCTCCATCAACATAATTCACTAAATCTATTAATTTATAATTGTTTTCTATAAAAGTTGTTACAACTCCCTTCTTCTTTGAAATATTTCACTTAAAACAACTTGAATCTGTGATCCTTGGTCTAAGTCACTCATATTTGATTCAGAATAAGCAATTTTCTTGTTTTCCTTTAAAGAAATGTTATTTTAGTCAGGTGTGGTAGTGCATGCTTGTAATCACAGCACTCAGAAGGCTGGGGCAGGAGGATTGCCATGAGTTTGAGTTCCACCTGGGCTACATGGTGAATTGAAGGCCAGTCTGAACCACATAGGGAGACCCTGTCTCAAAAAACAAGAAAAAAAGGAATTGTTAGTTTGAGTTGACCACTGGTTGCTATTATAAATAAAACTGTAATAAACTTGATATGTCTTTTGGTGAACTAAATAATCACTTCTACTTAGGATAAAAATTTTAAGTAATAAATTATATATGATTAGCTTTAAATGTGTTCTGCCAATTCCATACCCTCTAGAAATATATGAGAATTCTAATTACTTTACTTCTTCCTTGACACTTGTTATTGTCAGTCTTTTTCATTTTAACCTCCCATGTGGAGATGAAGTGAATACCTCACTCTGGGGTGGAGATTTTTATTTTCTTGGTGTGTGTGGAGTGGTTATTTTTATTTGAGACAATATCTAGCTCAGTTGCTAAGGCTTACCTTGAACTCCTGGGCTCACGTGATCCTCCTACCTCAGCCTGCCAAGTAACTGGAGTTACAAATGTGTGCCATTGTACTCAGATTCATTCTGGTTTTAATTTTCATTTTCCTGAGGACACTGAACACTTTTTCATGTGATTATTTGTTACTGAGAGATCATCTTTTGTGAAATATCCTATTTTCAATGTAGGTTTTACCCAATGTTTCCTAAGAAAAAAAATACAAGTCTATATTATGCAATGCAGCATAAACCTTCCCTTATAATATCCCCTTTAAATATCATTTTTCTTTCTTCTCAAATAGTTGCTTTTTTTCTTTCTTACATTCTCACAGAAATAAAATAAAATATAAAACTGCCTCAATTTTTCTCTCATAGTCACCACTCTATAATCTTCCTCAGGAAAACAAATTTTAACCCACATTTAGTAATTCGCTATTTTCTAAGTGGTTCTCAGTAGATAGAAGTTCTTTGTTTTATGATTTTCAAGGAGCTAAGGGGGGAAGGGTTGTGAGAGTTTCTTTTTTACTATTGCTAAATAAAATTATAGTAGCCCATTGCTTTAAACTAAGCTCCTGCACTGAGCCCCAACAGACCAAGCCAAGGATTAGAACAGAGACACTCAGCAAAGGTTCCCTATTGCAAAGCTAAAACTGATCTTCTGAGAAGTCAGAATTAGAATGATAGCAGTCAAGTTCCAAAACAGGTCAGTTTCAGGTGGTGTGATAATGAAGTTTTCTTTGCCTTCACTTTTTATATATAAAATCAGAAAAGCATTTTATTTTTTCTTCCACATTCTTATGTTCACTAGTACATGTCTTAATCACTTTCCTCATCACAAGACACCTTACCAGACACCCACAGTCTAGAGCAGGAAAGGTTTATGTTGGCTCACATGTCAGGAATCTCAGTCTTCCCATGGTTGGCTGGCTCCAAGGCAGGCTGGCACAGGAGCATAGCAAAGGGATAGCTCCTCCTGTCAGCACGTGGGAAGCAGACAGAGTTGGAGGAGGGCAGGAGAGAGACAGAGAGTAAGACAGACAGACAGAGACAAAGAGAGAAAGACAGAGAGAGAGAGACAGAGAGACAGAGAGAGAGACAGAGAGCCTTCCAGCCCACACCCCTCAATGACTCACCTCCTTTAACCTAACTGCAAGTCAGCTGTACTGCTCACATAATATGGTCATCTTCCCAGCAAACGAGCCTTGGGGGCCACTTCAAATCTAAACCATAACATATTTGCAATACGTAATGATTACATTCAAGTCAATAACCTTAAGTCAACCAGGTGTTTTTCTACCATGCTGCCTCCCTGTTGCTGCTTTACAAGGAAAGTGACTTTTGGTGGGATCTGGGGTCTTAGGATTTGAACCCAGGGCACTGATGCATGCCAGGTAAGTGTTCTTCCACTGATTCATGTCCCTGGATGTTTGTTCGTTGAGATGGGGGTCTTGCTATATTGCCAAAATTGGTTTTGAAATTTTAGGATCAAGTAATCTTTCTGAGGCTGGAGATTAGAGAACGACTTGTCAGTCACAGAGACTCCGGACACTTGTCTTGGACAGGTCCATAACTCAGGATCTGGGACCACCCAGGAAGTACTACCTTCAGTTCTTTTGGTATGAGATCAAATAGATTTTTGATATGGTGGCCTAGATCTGATGTCAGCCTGAGGAATAGGAGATATAAAAGATGTGGGCCTTTAAGTTTGTGACCATTGTGAGCGCTCTTTTTCCCAGCAGCCCACTCGCACTCTGCAAAGCATACTTCTGCTACCTTTAATAAATGTGCAACCTCGCTGCCTCTTGCTCTTGCCTTGCCTTATTTTTTGTTCAGGACAACAAAACCTGGAAGGAATCTCTGAAAAGATGCCACCCTCCACCCAGTACTCAGAACACTAGTAACCTTTCTGCTGTTACCAGTCAGTGTGGTTCTTTGCTTTTGGTAATAATGGAAACTAAAACTAATGTATAGATTTATAGGAGAAGACTTTAGAAAGTAAGAGGAAATGATAAGAACTTTAGCTTTGGAAAAACTGATTAGGCCAGCGCTCAACAAATAAGAGTAAGAAAAATAGGAAAGGACTCAAGCCTGAGCAGCTGGGGAGGGGAGGGTGTCAGTCGATGAGGGGGTCCCCAGCAGCAGCAACCAGCTGCTACGGTTCACCTGGGGTCTAGCGCATCATTCTTTCAGTTCTGGTTCCATAGTTCTGGGCCTCCTGGCTCTAGAGGCAGCTCTATTACCATGAAATGATTGTCTGACTGACAATTTCAGCCATGTGGAGCTCTGCTTTTTCTGAAATCCAGGTGATTATCAGTTTAGGACAAAACGGCTAGAGATTTCTAGGCAGAGTAGAATGTCTCTATAAATCTTAATGTCCTCTGTCTTGTAGGGAGATGAAATAATTCAAAGATAATCAACCTGGTTTTGTCAACTCGTAGACCAACATTCCTAAATGATTAACATCCCTATCTGCAGAGCTGAGAAGGAATTTGAACCAACAAAATGAAGGCTGAGTATGCGGCTCAGTGGTAGAGTTCTTGCTTTACATGCACAAAGCCCCAAGTTCAATCCTAGTACCTCATACACACAAAAGGGTTATGTTTTATTCTACACTAATTACCTGTTGGGCGTCTATAGCCCCAAATGAAGTCACAGGGTTTTTTGTTGTTTTTTGGTTTTGGTTTGTTGTTGTTGTTGTTGTTTTTAGCAAAATTGGCCTGGAAGTTCCTGATTGTCCCAGAAGACGATACAAATCATCCTATCATCCATTCATGAGCAAGGCTCAGAACCCAGGAATCTGCCCATGCGGGTTCCACAGTGGTCTCGGATTTCATCACTGCCTCACCCTCTCAGGGAACATGGGCCTCCACTCTTAACCAAAGGAAGGTGACTTCAAATAACCAATTCCCTGTCTTTCTCTGCTTCTTCAATTTTTTTTTTTTTTTATACTAAGAATTGAATTCATGACCTTGTGCTTGCCAGGCAGCACTTGTGCCATTAAGCTAAGTCCCCGGCCCCTTTCTTAAACATTTTTGTCTATAAAAATCAACTTCCTTTTCTCTGCCCATCATGACACTATTCTATTTTATGGAGCAAAATGTCCAATTCTAAAAATTGGGAGAAAAATCAATTGAAGTCATTATGTTATTATTCTTTTGTCTTTTCAGGTTACTAAATCTCCAGTGCCTAGAAAGGATGTCTAAAACATGTTAAGTACTCAGTAAATATTTCTTGACTAAATGTAGGAAGAATTTAAAACAAAACAAAACAAAACAAAACACCAAAACATTGTAATTGCCCACTCAACATTCACTCCTGTCTGGATTTTAGACTAAGTACCCACACCTACCATCAGGAAAACCAGTTTTATCCCCACTGTGAAGCACACTGTAGAGTCTATCCAGACTAAACGACATAATCCTATTTCTACTCATTGTACTGCAGCCAATGAGATTGAAGGGGAAACAGAGAAGGATCTGGAAGACAGGTTTTCTTGATCTTCTGAGAGACTTTCTGGAAACCTTCATCACCACTTTTTGCCCTGCTCCATCCATCCCCACCCTCACCATAGGAAGGAAGAAGATACAGGGTTTGCCAGTAACCATCCTGTGACAGGGAGCCAGCCTCTGGATAAAAATGAGACATGGGAAAAGAGAAAAAAGGAGTCTGGGTTCTGGGTGGCAATGAATCATTGAATCAGACCAACACTGAAGCCTGTCCTACCATTTGCAAAGGGCAGTAACCTCCTTTATCAGTTAAGCCAGCTTGAGTTTTGTATTATTCACAATATGACACTTCATGACACAGGAAGGAAAAGACACTCATTCTTGTGGTTTAGGTCTAAAATGCACCCTCCCCAGTCTCACTCTTTAGATGATCGAATCATGGTGGCACTATACTTAGGGATTAGAGAGGTGTGAGACAGCATGAGCCCCCCTCCCAGGACGTCATGACTGATCCCAGAGGAACAGGTGGACAGTTCGGCAGCACCTGGAGCTCAGAATAGGAGGAAGGCACTCAATAAAGGAAGCTGAACTTGTAGGCAGGAGTCAGAATAAGGAGCTGAATGGATGACTTGTTAAACTACACTCCTTTGTCCCGTACGTACTGCAGGTGAGGTGGTCTTTGTAGGACAGAAAATTCAATTTTATTTTAGATAGGCGACTGGAGGATTAGAAAAGGGTGAGACTGTGACAGACATACCTCAACAAGGAAAGAGACTGTGAAAACCTGAAAGACGCTGAGACAGGTATGTGAGAAAGGGTCAAACCAGAGAAAGATTTGGGGAAGGTTGAGTCATGGCTAGGTTACCTGTTGGGTGCCAGGAGTAAAGGAGGGGAGGAGTGGGGCTCTGCACATCTCTCTAACTTGGGCTCCTAGCAGTTGGTGGCACCATTCCCTGACACTGGGCACACAGATGGAGTTCCATTTTTGACATGTGGAATTTCAGGGGCTGTGGGATGTGCAAGGGTTGTTTGGCGGGTATAATAATATCCCACATGGTGCTTTTAAACTTTTTTAGTGGCTTAAAACAACATGATTTTATTATAAATGCAGTCCCTAGGTCAGAAGTCTGATATGGGGCTCACCTGGCTAATGTCAAGGCATTCTCAGGGATGCTGCATTCTTTATGGAGGCTTTGGAGGAGTCTGTTTCTTTGCCTTTTCCAGCTCTGAGAGACAATCACATTCCTACTCTTGTGGCTCCCTTTTTCTATCTTTGAAGCCAGCAGTTCTCTGACCCTCTTCCTGTCACATTCCTCTCTGACTGCCTATTGCTTGGAAAGGGTCTCATCTTCTAAACATTCATAGGATTAAATTGTCATGTGGATAATCCAGGCTAATCACCTCCATCTCAAGGCCCTGAACCTTGTCCACACTTGGCAAAGTTCCTGTTGCCATGTAAAGTCATGTGTCCACAAATTCTGGAGATTGGGTTGTGAACATATTTGGAGAGCATTTTTCTGCCAACCACAGTCTCCATTCAGATCAGGAGAGATAAACAAGCACAAGTGGATTTTGGTTAACATCCAACTAATTTAGGAGGGGAAGCAGAAGAAGTGCATGGGTGTACAAAGAGCAGCTAATGTACTGTGTCTAGAACATGCTGTGAATCTGTCAGTTTGTTTTATAAAGGTAACAGACAGAATGAGCCAGAGAGCCAAGCGTGAGAGTGTTGTGAGGAATTTGAGGGGCAGTGCTTTAGCCCAAGAGATGAAACAATGGCGAGCTAGCCCTTGGCCCCATCAGGCAGTGGAGTGACAGCACTGCAGCCCTCTTCGACTGGGTTCCACTGACTTCAGGCTGCTGGACGGTTATTAGTGCAAGTGATGCAAGGGGGCTTTAAAATTTTTTAAATCATTTGTAACACTTGGTGATTAAATTTTTCACATAAAAATCCAATTTTCCCTTTCTCATAAAAAAATTAGCATGGAGCTATGGCTCCATAGAGCAACACCTACCTGGTTTGATTCCCAGTACGAAAACAAAACAAAACAAAAAACAGACTATCAGGCCATTTTGGGTCACTACCCCATAATATTAATTTAAGTAGTGTAGGTGCCCTTCCATTCCCATCACCATGCTCTCTATGTTGTCTTATACCCAGGCTGCTCCATTTGACCCCCTTAGATAGAATTTGCACCTCCTCCTACTTATGGAATTGATATTCTGGGAGTATCTCTTGAATCACACCCTCTATGTGCAATTTCTAATAGTATCTGGACCCCTGACAAACCAGCCTCTCTGATCACACTATCTGGCCACCATTCCCTTTTTTATAGTTAAGCTTGCTGCTATAATCCTGTCCCAAAAGGACTATCCAGTTTCCAGGACTAAATACCAATAACCTCTAAACTCCATCCCATACTTTTCTCCATCTTTGTCTTTTCTTTCTCTTTTTTCTAATACAGAAGTAGGCCACTGTCGGAGCAGGATAGCAAAGGTCAGTAACTGGTCAGGCTAGTCAAGGCTAACTGGGCAAAACTAAGAAAAGAAATTCAGTGTCCCAGCCTTCCAAAAAGATGGACTCACAGGGCTTCTCCAAGAACTCGAGCTGAACAAGAAATGGGACCATTAAGTTATGCTGTAGTTTCCCTTTTCGGCCACTGTTGTCTCTT